GCTTAAATATCACTTTGTTGGGCCAACCTTTCTGGACTCATCTCAGTAAATTGGGTCTTCCATATCACCTTTATCCCCTGTCAGACTATGTTCCCATGGTGGCCTGTAATTTTCTTTCACTACACTCATAACTGGTGTGTGGTGCTTGGAATGGAAGCAGGCCCTTGCACATACTAAGCTTCACCACAGAGCCAAATGCCCAGACCCTCTTATCATTTTTTAAAAAATATTAATTCATTCATTTATAGCTTAGCTGAAACATAACAAGTAATTTTACATATTATTTGTGAGATTGTTTATATATTTTCTGTCTTCCCTTGACCCTTATTTCCACAAGAATAGGCACACTATTTGTTCTGTACTTGTCTGTGTCCTCAACACACAGAATTGACACAGAGCAGACAGTTAATAAATATTCATTCAGTGAATATATGTAGGAATGAATGAGTACACACTTTTCTCAAAAGGCATATAGTCCTCTATTAAAGAGGAAGGGCATTTTGCATCTGGGAGCCTTCGGCAGGATCTAATCTGAAAGACTGAAAAATCCCTTTGAGAACTTGGTGGGGTTCTCAACAGCATTCCTAACCATTTTCATCCTCCAGGTTATAGCTGAGTTAGTAGAGTTCCTGGTTCTTTTTTGGTGAGGGGGGTTACTAGGGATTGAACCCAGAGGCTCTTCACCAGTAAACCACATCCCTGCCCTTTTTTATATTTTATTTAGAGACAGGGTCTTGCTGAGTTGCTGAGAGCCTCCCTCTGTAAGTTACTGAGGCTGGCTTTGAACTTACAAGTGAAAGCAATGTGACCACTACACTCGAGCAACCAAGAGATTTTTATTGCAGCAGTGAGAAAGAGGAGGAAAGTTAGAGAGAGAGAAAGAAGAAAGAGAGAGCAAGAACCAGAGGGTGAAAGGGAGAGAGAGAGAAAGAGAGGGGGGCCTGGCAGGAGAGAGTTCTTATAGCCAAAATCTAATGGGGTCTCTGAGTCTGCAAGCTGCCTTGCTGGCATACAATGATTGGATCATACAGTAGTTGCTAAGGGTGTCATCTTCTGCCTTCAGGCAGATGGGGCAAGGGACTGATGTGAATTTTCCATTGCACCAGGTGTGTGGGGGTTCAGCCTTGAGTGGGGTTGAGTGTTCAGACTTGTTGCAAACAGGTGATAAAGGACCAGACAGAGGGGGGTGATTACCCGGGTTATCCTGCAGCTAACTTTCATTCAGCCCACCCTGCAGACAACTTAGTTCAGCCTGCCCTGCACCTAACAATGATCCTCCTGATTCAGCCTCTCACTCAGGCTGCTGGGATTCCAGGTATGTGCTACTGTACCTGGCTGATTTTCTGGTTCTCTTTTGGCCGCCAGACCTCTCACTGAGGTTTCTCTAGCTTTTCTTTAACCTGAGAATGAAGAAACAAACAAACAAAACTATACACAATAAAATTTCATCTTCTGAGAATTAAAAAACATTTGAGGACTACTTCAGGATTGATCTGAAGTTTCAGATTGTCTACAAGTTAGGCAAAGGGTTGGTTTATATGGGATCAATTTAGCCATTCCCAATCTCCTCTTCTTCTTCACATTTAAGTTTCAATATGACAGGGGGGAGTTGGACTTTCATTATGGCTCAAAAGCAGCATTAAACCTCAAGGTTCAAGACAGAAAAGTGGTGATAAGAAATCTGTGCTCCCAAACCTCATGACCCAGTGGATATGTCCCAGATTCTGTCTTCCAGTAAACACTGCTCTTTCCAGATGTCTTGACATAATAGTAGTGAAAGGAAATCAATCTCTCTCTCCTCTCTCTCTCTCTCTCTCTCTCTCTCTCTCTCTCTCCCCTCTCTCTCTCTCTCTCTCTCTCTCTCTCTCTCTCTCTCTCTCTCTCTCTCTCTCTCTCTCTCTCTTAATCTTCTCTCTTTATTTTTTATGTATTTATTTACTTACTTACTTACTTATTTTTTACCAGGATTGAACCCATGGGTGCTTAAACTCTGAGTCACATCCCAAGGCATTTTTAGTTTTTATTCTGAGACAGGGCCTCACTAAGTTGATGAGGCTAGTTTTGAACTTACCATCCTCTTACCTCAGCCTCCCAACCTGCTAGGATCACAAGCTGGCCCCATAGCATCCAACCTATTTTGTGTGTGTGCGCATGAGTATATGTGCATGTGTGCGTGTGTGTGTGTGTGTGTGTGTGTGTGTGTGTGTGTTACTGGAGATTAAACCCATGTTTTGTGCATACTAGGAAAGTGCTCTGCTACTGAGCTGCATCCCTGGAACACTTCTATGGACAGTAAAAAAAAAAAACAACAACAACAGTCTGCCCACTTATTCCAGGCATCAGAAGTCAAAAGTGAGAAAGAGGCATTCCTAGTCTTATCTGACTGAGTAGGATATTGTCAAGGATTTGTTTAGAGAGAGAAAGTGAGTATTCTTTTTTTTCAAAGTTCCATATGCCACCCACTATTGGTCTCAAGGGTTTGGCTTAGGTCCAAGTTCTAGGTATTTTCCTTTTTAACATCAAACTGGACACTGGCTTTGAGAGGAACACAGGGCCTACAGACCTACAGAGCAGAACAGCTGCTGAGTCCTTGAAGGAGCCTTTTTGTGTGTGTGGTATGCAGTGCTGGGAATGGGACCTAGAGCCTTCCACATACTAAACAAGTGCTCTATTACTGACCTATATACCCCGCTCCTTCTTTTACTTCTTAATTTTTTAATTATCTTTAAGTTTTAAAAATATTTGTCAATTTTAAATTATTTTTACATTTTTAAAAAGATTTATTTGTTTCTAGTTTTCATTGACACATAATAATTGTACATATGTATGGGTTGCAGGGTGATAATTAGATACATGTGTAAAGATCAAATCAAGGCAATTAGCATTTCTATCTCCTTAAACATTAATCATGCCTTTGTGTTAGGAAGCTTTGAACTCTTCTCTTCTAGTTTTTTGGTGTTTAGTTGTCAATGGACTTTTAAAATTTTGTTTATTTATATGTGGTGCTGAGAATCAAACCCAATGCCTCACACATGCTAGGCAAGCACTGTACCACTGAGCCATAACACCAGCCATCTTCTATTATTTTTGTAATATACTTGCAATCTCTTTCTCCTCTGTCCCAAGTATCCACAGTATCTTCCCTGTACTGAGTTGAGTTCTTCTGGACCAGGTTCTGTTAATATTCAGCCTTGCCCATTGCCTGGGGAGCTGACACATACTAGAACATGGAGTGGAAATGACGCATCCAAACTCTAGGACTTAGGGGGAAAGTCTAGCTTCCCTGTATCTAAGGCAAGAAGTCAGTTATTCAGTCATTTCCTTTAGTATAAAAATTGAAAATGACATAAATGACTACTAGGACCAGAAAGTGAGTGTCAGAAATATGGTTAATTGTTTACTAATGATTTGATTATCCAGAGATGACCCAAAACTCCAATGGCTACACAAGCTAATGCTGTTCACGAGAAGGTCAAAAGGCTCTTCAGAGAGTATCATGCTTAGCTCTTGGTTGTTTACTTGGCTAAATGTAGGCAAGCTCTTTTGATTGCTCTGTGAGTGATTATGGTTTCTAAGCAATGATGAGAATTAAAATTTCACACTCTCATGCTAAAGTTTTCAAGCTTCCATTTCCAGATCACTGTTTTCATAGATCATCCAGCCCAAGGATCCCAGGAATGCTATTGGGAGCTTTTGTAGGGATTGTTTGGATTAAAATTTCTCTATTCTTACATGGAAAACTAAATCCTAGAGACCCAGGATGGAAAGCCAAGCCTAAAGCATATTGTGAAAGACAAGCAAAGACTCCCCCAAGGCATGAGAAAAACCCTGGATGTAGAGTTAGGAGACCAGAGTGCACATGGACAGACAGTCCATTATAGTTGTTTGACTCAGTTTAAATCAATTAACTAATTTTAACTCCAGTTCCCATTCTACAAAACAGCAATACCAATAACTACTAGTTGTAATTAATCAAGTAACATGTGCAAAGGATCCAGTATTCGGCAGCTGATAAGAATGAGTTGTTGAATCTGAATGTGCTCCTTAAAACTGCTGTCCAACTCTTATTTAGGAGTCCTGGAGAGCCTTTCAAGGTCTCTTAATCCATCTTTAAAATTTTTAGGAAAGGGACTTGAGGATGTAGCTCAGGGGTAGAACATTTGCCTTGCATGTACCAGGCCCTGGGTTCAACCCCCAGCAAAAACAAACAGACAAATAAATAATTCAGGGCAATATTTTGAATTTTCTGAATGGAACCATTAATGGCATATTATCCTTTCTCCACCTATCAAAAACCTACTCATAATTGAGAACCCAATTCAAGTATCAACTTTATTGCAAATCTTCTTTAGATCTAATGTGAGGACTTAAGGAAGGCTTCCTGCAGAAAGTGATGCTTGAGCTGAGATATAAAAGCTGAGTGGAAATACCCTGTGGGAAAGGAGGGGAGAGTGTATTGGGAATAGAAGAGACAGTATACAATAAATTTCATGACATTGTATTATACAAAGATATCTACATTACCTTGCAATAGGTAGTTTTGTAATTCAGGCTACTAGGACAGTTAAGGCAGGAGAATTGCAAGTTCAAGGCCAGCCTGTGCAAACTTAGGCCCTATCTCAAAAAAATAAAAAAATTAAGGGTTCAGGATATAGCGATTACCCATGGGTTCAACCCCTAGTACAAAAACCAAAACCAAAACAAACAAACCAAAAACAAAAAAAACCCACACCCCCAAAAGCAAACAGGAAATGCAGTTTATTAGGACAACCAGAAGGCCAGTATGATTAGGGCAGAGAAGGACAAAAACTTGACAAATAGGGCAGTAGCAAATGGTATACTGTCATGCAGTTGGTGCCATACACAAAGATCCTCATGAAGGGGGCCAGCCTGC